GAAGTAGAAGAAGTCGAAGACAGTGCGGAGAAAGGTGACGATGATGCCGAGGCCCATGTCGATTTTCATGCAGGAGGAGCCGCCGATGCCGGGGATGAAGAAGTAGATGGGGTCGAGGAAGAGGCCCATGATGCAGATGACGAAGAAGATGTGGTTCCAGAGGGTCACGCGTTCGGATCCCGGGTCGAGGATCTGGTACCACCAGGGGATCTCCTTCCGGAGCGAGAAGGGGGTCGAGAAGTTGCGGATGCGGGCGGAGGCGGCGGCGTACGGGTGGAATGTGTGAACCATTTTGGGGCGTTTTTGTCTTTTCGGGGTTTGGCCATCAGGGAGAGATTAATTTGAGAGATTTGTGGGAGAAGAAGAAGAAGCAGCAGAGGAAGGGCTGAGCTTTCGGGTTCCCATGACCGTTATCCCATTGACGGGAAAAGCGCGGCAAATTTTTATTTTTATTTTATTTTATTTTTCCATTTTATGTTCTGCTTTTTAAAAAATAACTTTTATGATCAGAGTTGGGGAACTTATGATTTTTTATTTTTTTGTTGCTTAGCTTAAGCTTATCAATATGATAGTCACCAAAATATAAGTTCTATCACTTTTTTTGTACACGACTCGACGTGCCAAAGTCAAATATTTATACGAGACAAATGAAATTAAGACAATATGGGTGATGACGAGCATGATAAGTGGTGATTGAGATAATTGAAAATATTTAACGCTATCAATATTTGAATTTCACAAATTGTACAAGTAGAGTTGTTATAAGTTAGTAAAGATGACAAGGATCACGTTTGGTTAACCAAAATGTTAGGTAGACGATAGCCAATGAGAGTTGGTTGAGTTGGTAATGATTGTTCTTTTTGCCACCTAGGCCTAAGTTCGAGTCTCGTTGTTGACAATTTTTTTTAGTGGGTAATCTGTAACAACCAAAAAAAAGACTAAAATCTCATATGTAAGTCCTCAAAGAGGTTTTAGTATGCTCTAGCCCTAGGATGGTAGCCTCCCCTCCCCTAGACTTTTGTTCATAAAAAAATAAAATAAAAATTGTTAGGTAGAAGATGACAAGGTTTAAATGGTTGTTAAAAAAACAGTTAAAAACTATAAAAGTAAGTTTGTTAAAATTAAGCGTGGCCCAATGGGCTAATTTGGTCGTCAATAACTCACTAAATATTAATATTTTTCCACTCTACCAAATCACTTATTTTTACTTTTGTTCTTTTCTACACAACTTTTCTCAAAGTAGATTAGGAGTTCATATTGGCTTTTCATCTTTACAAAGCCACGTCATACATAAGTTCCCTTGCAAAAGAATTTTGCTGGTATATAAATATGCAGATATTTGGCCACCTCCACAGAAACACTAAATATATAGGTGGTTTGTTTATTTGTCAAGCTGAGCCAGCCACCTCACAGATTGATAGCTAGGGAGAACCAACTATAAATCAAAGGTGTTGAGAGCAAAACGACGTCGCATGGAGAAGAAGACTGCCAATTATACTCTCAAGTCTGCTGCAGATCATGATGATGATGAGCTTGTTGATCATCCTGAGTTTCCTGGATGGTTTTCTGAGCATTGTCCCGTATGGCCAGGTGGGTTTCCATTATATTTGACTTGAGGTTTTCTGAAAATGTGTTAAACGTTTCTTGTGGTGCGCTTTTTTGTTGCATGTGAAATCAGTCCAGTCCAGATTTAACTTTCTTTTAATCTACACTTCAATGTAAACACACACAAAGTAGAAATGTTTAGTTCAAAAACAAATGCTGGCTCATTGTTTACTTCAGGCCTGTGTGAAATTAAATTTCTTTGAATATGTCTTGTAGGGCAAGCACACTTTTTGAAGGTAGAAAAAATTTTATTTCAAGGAAGGTCCGAGTACCAAAGTATGATGGTATTTCAGGTAAATTAACATGTTAGTTTGAATAATCTACGACTCGAATTAACAGTTTAACAATATAACAAATATAGTTGATTTTTAATTTGCAGTCATCAGCATATGGCAAGGTTTTTGTTCTAGATGGAGCACTCCAATTGACTGAGAAAGATGAGTGTGCTTACCAAGAAATGATCACCCACCTTCCTCTTTGCTCCATTCAAAATCCAAACAAGGTAATTTATTAAACATGTGTCATAAAATCTCATGTCAAAGAAAGAAAGTGTCAATCTTACACATTTCATGACATAATTCCCATTCACATGTTAATCATCAATGTCCTGGTGAAGTTAATTACAACAATAATAAATTAATTACAAGTGGTTTTGCTAGATAATTAAGCTCAACTAATTGCAATTATTTTGTCCCCCTACTTATGTGTACTTGATCAGGTATTACTCATTGGGGGTGGAGATGGCGGTATCTTAAGGGAAATTTCTCGACACTCTTCTGTCCAACAAATCGATATTTGCGAAATAGACACTATGTTGATTGATGTGAGTAAAAAAAGAATATGCAATTTTTCACTAAAATTTAATTATGGAAATGCATATTATTTTATTATAGCCTTTAATTAATGAATGTGAGTACGTAATATTTTGTATAATCCAATAATTTTTCAGGTCTACAAGAAATATTTTCCTGGTATTGCTATTGGATATGAGGACCCTCGTGTGACCCTTCACGTTAAAGATGGCAAGTTGGCTACAACTAGTCTGTGATTATTGGGTTTCTTTGATAAGCAATCCTTTTAAATATGTTTTCTAGTCATGATCAACTTAAATTTCCAGGGAATGCATTTATCAAGTCTGTACCAGAAGGAACATATGATGCGATAATTGTGGATGCATTTGACCCAATAAGTACGAACATGCTTCCCTTAATTCCCTGTTTTTTTTTCTCGATCTCAAGCGCTTGTTTGGGAGTGATTTTATCTTGTTTATATATATATATATATATATATATATATATATATATATATATATATATATATATATATATATATATATATATATATATATATATATATATATATATATATATATATATATATATATATATATATATATATATATATATATATATATATATATATATATATATATATATATATATATATATATATATATATATATATATATATATATATATATATATATATATATATATATATATATATATATATATATATATATATATATATATATATATATATATATATATATATATATATATATATATATATATATATATATATATATATATATATATATATATATATATATATATATATATATATATATATATATATATATATATATATATATATATATATATATATATATATATATATATATATATATATATATATATATATATATATATATGCATGATCTGCATGTGCATGCATGCAGGGCCCGATCATGAGCTTCATGAAGGTCCTTTCTTTGAGTTGGTGGCGAAAGCTCTCCGACCGGGCGGAGTGATGTGCATCCAAGCAGAGAGCATATGGTTTCCTTCCTTAGACATTGATCATCTCACGGCAAAGTGTCGCCAGAAATTCAAAGGCTCTGTTGATTATGCATGGACCATTGTTCCTGCATATCCAAGGCATGCCATGCATGCATAATTACTTTTCTATTCGTTAATTAAGTAGTATTATATTAATATAGAGAAATTTGAAATATTAACTTCCTAATTAATTACTATTTCAATTGATTTCAGTGGGGTGATTGGCTTCTTGCTTTGCTCCACAGAGGGACAATTCGTTGACTTCAGAAATCCGGTCAACCCATTAGACCCCAACAATAGTTATGGTGTAGCAAAAGAACCCTTGAAATTTTACAACCCAGAGGTGACCTCTTGAATTTATAACTATAATATTTCTATTCATTTTAATGAATTAACCTCTCTCTCTCTCTCTCTCTCTCTCTCTCTCTCTATGATATATATATTAATTTCAGGTGCACATGGCTGCATTTTGTTTGCCATCGTTTGCAAAGAAGGGGATGAATAATAATAATAATGGGTGTAAAGAGGGCAGCAATGGAGTTGGTACGATTTCAGCTGATGATGAGGGCACAAAACAACAAGTGAATATTCAAGAAGAAGACGATATTACCGATCATTAGAATTATTTTTTTTATACCACCATCCATTCCATTTCCATTTGCAATTCCATGCCCCCAACTCAAACACATATCATGATTGTGTACTTTGATTGTAATTCCAAACTTTATGCATGATTTGCTTTTGTGGGGTTCATTTGTCTCCTCGATTCATTCATTGTTTGCTCTACATTTCAAAATGCCAAATTATATATTCAATTTCTCAATTTCTTTCTTCATGTAATTTGGCCATATATCAAAAGATGTTTCTTTTTCTTCTTCTTTTTCTATCGAATATATCAAAAGATGTTTCAGTTTCAGGTATCCAACAACAGCTAAAGTTTTTTCTTTTAATCCCTTTCTAGGGATCCCTTGGCCCTTAAAGTCATATAAGACTTTATTTAAAGTGTAAAGTTCTTTTTTGGGTTACAAAATTTTAAAACTTGCTTTTCTTAAGAAGCTTTGCGAGTTGTAATCAACCAGTTCACATGCCAAACGAACTTGTAAAGACATGGACTAAGGCACCGTTTTAGATTGCTTTTCATGGCCTAAAACTGCTTAACGTACTAACTTGCTTCACTTTAAAGTACGTTAAGCAGTTTTAAGTTGTTTGGTAAAAATAAAATATCATGATTATTTTAAAAGTAATGGCCTTTTAACAGCAGCCTCTAGGTTGATTTTCAAAGCTGCTTTCAAAAGAAGAGAGATGAGCCTTGAATGATACTTTTTAATTCTCATAATACTATCATTAATTTTTTAAATGGCATTGGCTACCACCACCACTATCTCCTCCATCTCCATCACCACCTCCTCCACCTCCACCACCACCTCCACCACCACCTCCAGTCCCACCCTTAAATTATTATTAAAGGTTTTTCTTTGATAAGATCAAGTATTTATAACTTTAGTTCCTAATGTGACATATGTATATTTGTGTCGAACAAATCGACATATGTGAAATAGACACAATGATCATACTAAATTTCTTCTAAACTCATATATTTATCCCTCCTTGTTGGCGGGCCGGCATATTTCATAGTTTTGATTTAAATTTACATAGCTTGCTTGTGGGATTTTCATGATGTTTCAGGTTTATAAGCGCTTTGTCCCTGAGGTAGCAGTGGGATATGAGGATCCCAGAGTGCAAGTACACATATCAAATGGTAAGACATTGATTTTTTGGCCTGCTGATAAGTCTCTGTTACTTGTTTTATATGGAGCTTGATTATTTAATTTTAACAAACGTGCAGGAGTTGAGTTCATGAAGAATGTTCCTCAAGGCACATATGATGCCATCATGCTTGATGCTTTCCAAAACATGGGTATTTTCTCTTTTCTCATTATTGAACTTCCATCATATTCAAAATAACACAACTTGAAGATCCCCAAAGCATTCATTATGCTCAATGCCATACAGGTACTACATCAACAGAACTTACTGACATCTTCTTGGAATCGGTTGCAAGGGCTCTTCGCCCTGGCGATGTTATGTCTACCCCGGCAGACAGCTTCTAGCATAAAGACTTTGTTCACTGTGCAGATACCATAGCAAACTGCCGCAAAATATTTAAGGGCTCTGTTAATTATGCCTGGACAACAAGGCACGAGGTCCTTTGCAATTAGAACTTCGCTGGTTACTTTATACTATTGCTGATGCATTTCATGGTGAATCTCTTTTTCAGTGGGATAATGGGGTTCATGCTGTGCGCCACCGAAGGGCCACCGGTCGACTTTAAACATCCCATCAATCAGTTAAACCTGGAAAACCACGGTGTGGTTAAGGGACCTCTGAAATTCTACAACACACAAGTACTGCCGATTTTTTCTTTCCATAACTGTTTTTTAGCCTAGTCTACGTTGTTTTGGATACTTTATTGGGTCCCTAATGGATTTGCTTTCCTCTGTTTTCACTCTTACAGATGCACAACGCTGCCTTTCAAGTGCCTAGTTTTGCAGATAAGGCTCTAGGAAATCAAGGATGGCTTCTATATATCGTCTGTGATGCAGGCGCATCTGACTGTTAGTTCTGCTTTGAATCGAACACAATCTCAATTGGACACCAAAATAAACTGAAATTGGTCCATTTCTTTTTCCCTCTTTGTATGATCTGTAATTCTAATGAAAAACCATACATTTCTGTAGATTCATGGGTTTCGTTTTTACCAAATATCCAAAAATTTAAATCCTCACTTCTTCAATAAGTATTTAATGCAAAAGGGCTATCAACCAAAGAAACAAATGACGGAATTCAAGCTTCATCACAGTGGCTTACAACAAGGTACAACTACAGTCAATAGCCTCTTCCAAATTCTATATGTATAGCAGTATACAAGATAGTAATAAGATACAAAATTTGAAAAAACCCAACACATGAAGGTAGCAAACTATGTAACAAAACTAACCGCCGTGGCAGGACCTGAGAATCTTTGTGTCATACAGGACCAAAACGTTCGTTGTGAGTCGTGACTATATTGGACAGCAAAAGTGGGGTGTTCTGTTTAGTAATATGGTTACTGTTATAGCGGAAGTTGCTCTGCTTGAAGATCTCTAGGGTGCATGGACAATATACACAAAAGGTGAGGAAGAAAGAAGTAAATGGCTAGAAACACAAGAACCCCAAGATCAGCCTCTTCACCAACTGCTGGCCGACGAGGATTAACCCAGTGTATTTGGCTTGCACACCATAAGCAATACAGGATTGCTACAATGGAAATCAGTGTCACTGATTGATATGATTGCTTATTAATAGACTTGTGAGGCTTAACCCTGCATGCCAAAACCATCGATCAACATAAATGTCAAGGACCTGCAAAATGCTAGGGAAATAGGAAACAAAATGTAGAGTGCCTCAAATAAACACCTGTTGATGTAAATAAAGCCGCCGATTAAGACAATGCATAAAAGGCCAACCACAACAACAGCATCTGGGTTAACCGGTGCCCGGCCCTTCCACCAACCAGTGCTCAAAATCCAAGTATACATTTTTGAATGCCCATTCTCCTGTGAAGTTTAGAGGGCGTATATGGTCCATCAGTCCGATCATTCTTAACTCCCACAAAAAAGAAATCTCATATACAAAATACATGCTGTGGGGAAAAAAAATGCAAAAACTAAAACTACATGAACTTGCCTTCATATATACGTATTCTTGCATATAGACCCAACTCTTAAACCTCCACTCATCCTATATCTTTCATACCGAGTGGATGTTAAACTATGACTCCAAACATACTCTATGGCAACATCAATCCCTTAATCATCCCAAGCTTAATGCTTCTACATAGAACAACCTTCAAAGAAAAATCATTCTTACTTTTTCTAATTCTAAAACAAGAGTCTAGCTAGCATACAACAATACCAAGCATGTAAAGGAACGTTGAGCAGCAGAATAGCTCATTAACGTCTCTATATTACCTCAAACAAGTGGTCAAGGAAAAAGTGTGAAAAAGAACCAGCTGACACCAAGAACCAGCACTGCTTCCTAGTAAGGGGCACCTGAAACATAAAACACAATAAATTACGAAATCGCATTCAGTAATAGTTGTGCTATGTTTCATGATCAAAACAAAGTTTTGGTTTTGCAATGTTCACGATACTTTTACAATAAAGAAGTAGCTTAAAAGCATAAATTTTAAACAACCAAAACAAATCTCACTTAACAAGACAACCTAATTCCCCCAGTATCAAGTGTATGGCCACTTTTTCAGGTGGTCTTCCAGCTAAACTCAAACACATGACGCTAAACTAACTATACATTAGCTTGATCAAATAAATTACACAATTCAAAATCAGATGCAGAATCCCAATAAGGAAACAAAGGATACTTTAATTATTAAACTTATAATTAAATACACGTCACTTTGATTTTCTTCTAAGATCTATATATATCAGGTGGAAAACAACAATGAATAGAACCCACCTTCCTTATTGAGCTGCTCTTATGATTTCATGAGTGTTCAGACAATACTCCAAAAATAGAAACCCCCAAAGATACAGGATAAAAAACTCTTTCCATTTCCATACATTGTGTCAGCAACCAGACAAAGGAGAATAAACAGACAACTTACTCACCCCAGAAAACGAATCAAGAAGCCGTCTTTGAAGCAAAACTCTAGAGACCCAAGAGTAGAGCAAACACAGAGGAAGACCCGGAAAGAGAACATAGTGAAAGGGGTGGTGGACTAAGTCGGCTAGCTTGGAGCCGAAGCCGAAGCCGAGGATGGAGTCGAGCCACTCAGAGAAGGATCCGATGTCAGGGCCAAAGAAGGCGTTGATGGTGTAGAAGAGGGTGTGGTGGGGGCTGAACCTGCCATTGCTGAGAGTGGTCAGAGCCAGGCCAGTGCCCATGGCGTACATGAGGTGCGGACCAGGGCCTGGCATGGCTACACCACCTGGGTTTTGGGTCCTCTGGGGAGCTCAAAGCTGAGATTAAGAGCTCCTTGGAGTTTTGTTTGCTCCAAAATCCATGTCAGCTAAAAGCTTGTTGGTAATGAAAGTTTGAGCTTTTGAGTTTCATTAACTCAACTGTTTATTGAGGAATAAGAGACAGTTTAATGTTGTTATTATGTTCCAACAAGTGGAGGGCTTTGGGCTTTGGGCTTTTGGGAGTTTTGTAAATTTGAACTGGCTTTGTAGTTACATGATACTTAATTCTTTCATGAAATCATACTTCTTACTGCAATTTTTGATGATTTGTATGAGATGTTTGCATTTTAATAGTTTTAAAATTAATTTAAGATACTTAATCGTTAAGGTACAACCCCTCATGATAAAACTTTATTTTATCTGTTCAAAAATTTATAGATTAGAATATTATTTTACTAAATTTTAAAAAAAAGAAATTGAAAAAAATTGACTTGTGGTCAATCTCCATCGAATCCCGAAGGAAGGGTTAAGTCCATAGTTGCTGGGTTTTTAACTTTGCCGACAGAGTCACACTCCAATTCTCACACCAAAAGGAAAGACCGTAGAAAAGTGAAAATGGCTCGTCGTTGTTAATGTTATTATGTTCCATTCCAACAAGTGAGGGCTTTGGGCTTTTGGGATTTTGGGCTTTTGATGTGGTTATGCAAGGAACTTTCCAACTTGGAAAGGTTATGGATTTGATTTCACAGTCTTCTTCCATTGAAGGAAGAAAAGTTGGAAAACATTTGCTCTACTTTAGCCTAATTCCTTTCTATGAGCGTTATGATTTGGGGTTACTTTCTTTTATGTTTGTTGTTGCTGATGTTGTCAACGATTAAATAGATAGGTAGCTATTGCTACAAGGCTCTAATCTAGATCTAGTTAGGTGGATGGAGAGAGGAGACTTGACGAGGTCAAAACACTAGAAGGTAATTACTTTTTATTTCTTTGTTCATTTCATTTATCTGTTTCCTAACAACCATTCCCGTTTCAATATGTGTGGACTCAATTAACTTCAATCGGATCCATTTATGCTCTAGACTATATAAATGAATTTCCTACTCGTTTAACAATTTTGTCATGTCATTCCCGAATGATCGATTCTAGGGTTTACACGGGCAAAACCTTGAATATCTTGTGCCATTCCAAATCTTAATAGGTCGTGTTCGTGCCAACACACGTGCCTTTTTTCGATTTCTTGTCTCTAGACTTATAAGAAGTCCCCAAACTTCTATGTAGGTCAAAATCTGTTGGGTCATTTAGCCCATCGCATTGACTTTGTCTAGCCCAATGCTTGAGCCAACAAAGTCCACACCCCAACCCCCCCACCACACACAAGTTAGTCTCTCTCCTATCTAGTCCTTCAAATTAAATTTAAAAATAAATAAATTTTTAAGAGAAGTTGTTAAGAGAAGCAATACCTATCTTGGGGCTGGTCTTGTTTGAATTTTCTAGTCTCTTTAATTACCTCAAAATGCCACCTTCTTCTTCTTCTTCTTTTTAAACAACGTGGAATAAATAAAGAGGAAAACGTCAGCAAGAAAGGTGTCCAGAGTTGGGCAACGTCAGGCGGAAAGAGAGGATAAGAATTGGGATTGGAAAGGGAAGATACCATGGGGCTCGGGGCTTTGGGGCTCCGGTGGGACCCATGGGTTTGTCAACTTTTCGGTCTTTTAACGGATAAGGACTGCAAAGGCATAGGGAGACCCCCCCCACCCCCCTCTCCACACGCATTCACTTCCCTCCCCTTCGACACGACACGCCTCGGCCACCGGGACCACCAGATAACGCGGGCCCCATCCCCTTCCTTCTCCCGTATTTACAATACAATTATTTTATTCAATTTATTTTGGAGATAATCTATCTTCCCTTTCCGTCATTTATTTTTCGGCTACGGATAATATTTGTTAATAGTTGAGTTCTTTATATATATATAAAATATTTGCTTCTTAATCTGAATATTCTTAGAATCATAGTCCATTTTAATGACCTATTCAATTTTATGAATGAATTTATCAAAATCTAGTTTATTAATGTTCTCTTTCTTTAATCAATTAATTTGATGATATGAATACTCTAAATTAATCTAGAGAAGTTAGAGGTGAATGGTTAAGGACCTCGCAATTAGTTAGTAGTACACCTATATATATATTATAAACGTATATCCACACAATTGAATCCAAAATATTCCACGTAAGATTAGGCAGGTGGCTGGCTCTGGCTTGAGGAAAAATCTTAGTTGGGGGGTGAAGTGGGCCCGAAGTAGAACCAACCACAAGGCACCAAGTGTGCACCAAGTGGAAAATAAAATGTCAAAGTAACTCGTCCAAACGGAGGAATCGGTCTCCGAGTGTGAAAAGCCCGCACGAGTATGAGAAATGGAAGGAAGGAAGGAAGGAAGGAGAAGAAACAGGGTTGGAATTGGAATAGTTTGGCATGCCGGAATGGAACGGAATTGATGAAAAATGCCACGCTGGAAGCTGGTGGGAATGGGTCCAAATCCAAATAGGAAAAGGACTGGATAGGATAATATAGGATGAGGGAAAAAGCTTCACTAGCTCTGTGTGGAGAGAGAGGGAGAGAGAGAGAGAGAAAGAGTGGTATTGAAAAAGATCTTTGTCTCCTAGATTTTATCCGCATTGAATTGCGCAACTCCAGGGTGGACCTCTGCTTTCTCTTAATTACATCCTTATGCCACTGCCTTCTTATTCTACAATTATGATTATATTACCCTTTCATCCAACGCTGAAACTTGATAAGCTTCCACGTAGCAAAATAAAATTTACAGCATTTTTGCTGAACGGATCATTTTTATTTATTTTAAAGCAGGGTTTTAATAAAATATATAAAATGGATAAATTCTAAGTTACGATCACACTAGAAAATAATTTATCTTTTACTGATTACTCTATTTTTTTTTTTGGTCAACATGACTTCGTAACATGCCTAGAAAGTTTTCATGTGTGGATTAACATATTCAATTAGGAATATAACTTAATTATGGGCTTTGACCTAAGTTTAAACTTAGGCAGACTAATCAACCAAGCAAGGCCGAAGCTACTTGAATTTGTCAACAACCAAGTCCAAGACGCACATGCATGTAATGTTTGATTGAGCTCCAATTAAGTTTGAACTTTGAACATAATTTTGTCTTGTTAATTAAGCTGCAAATATAATTGACTAAGCTTGGTTTGTTGGTAGCTCTCTCTCTATAGTCCATGTCAACTGTGGATCCCTTTTTTGGCTTTGAAATTTATGCCATGAAGCAAGCCTATCATAATCTAATTTTAAATTGAATATTAAATTAAGTGTAAAAAAAACACCCAATGAAAAATTATATTGATGACATAATGTGCATGATTTTCCATCTCGTTTCAGAGTGATTTTATGGACAAATGTGTGGGAGATGCTTTTTGCAATAAGTGATCTAGATAATGTTTTACTCGATGAAAATTGTATTTTAACCTTAATTGCAATCTTTACTAACCAACCACATGAGCTCCATTGAAAGAAAAAAAAAATTACAATCATAGGGATCCAAGTGAAAAACAATTTAAATACGAGGACTGCACTTTTAATTTAGCCAAAGTTTTTTTGGGTGTCACGAGTTATCAAAGCGTGTCGAGTAGAAATGATTTTCCACAACCATACGGTGTCGTCCATGTGAAATTGACACGCCTGATGCACCGACTTACCCGCGCGTGGATTCTTTCCCACCATTTAAAATGGCGGTAAGGGAGAAGGTGAAAACATAACGGCACAAAAGTGAAACAGTAAAAAGGGAGAATTAAAAAAAAAAAAAAAAACTGATCTTATCGAGATGGGTGACACCGTGACAAAAGGAGAATTACGTGGTCGAGCAGCCGCGTGCATTATCCATTCTCCCACCAAAATAAACGTGGTTACCCACTAAAACTCTAATTATCGATATTCAAACCAAATAAACGGAAAAGGAAAAAACCCTCTAATTTATCTTTCCTTTTCGATTGTTTCCTGTCTAGTCAAATTGATCTACGCGTTTGCCTCATTTTATACAGCTGTTAATCATTGGCTGGCTCACAGCTCCTTTTGGTTGTTAGGGTTCTTTACTCGTTTGCCCAAATGCAATACTCTATACGTGACTGTTAACGATTGATACATTACGAATATTATATATTAATTGTAAAGAACACGCACATAAGCAATTATCTTGATACGCTTTATGTGCTACTTTCTTCCTTGTACTTGCATTTTGTATCTCGTGTTATACCATTCCGTCAGTTTCTTCAATATAATCATTAAGTTGTTGACGTGACATGAACATTCTGTTATTTTATGTAGTTTTTTAAAACACCACATTAACTCTTTTTTATTTTGGTGTTTCAATGGGTAGATGGGGTGTTTTTAGGATTTTACCAACATAAGAATTGTATTGTTTCTTAAGCAATTGCAGGTTTGAAATCCTTGAGCCTCGTCATAGTCCTTAAGGCTAAGAATTTTCAATTTCTTTGTTGGTGATAATATAATAATAGTAGCATGAATATGACAATTGAAAGGTCACTTATTGATTAATATGGAGACCACAATCGTGACACTTTCTCCATACACGTAGCAATCCAATTAAAAAAACTTGACCCGACACAAAATTTGTGGGCCTAGTCTTATGTTTATCCGCATGTAGGGGCTTATTTTTAAAAACCATGGCGTCTTTGATTTCTTTTTATGGTATGAAGGGATGGTCAACTTTATTTAAATACAAAACAACAATACCACAAGTTGGTAATGCAAAGGACACTATTGGAAGGATAACATTATTTATGTAAATATTTAATCTGCCTTTTTGGTACCTAAACAATTAGGTTTTAGGTAATTAACCCACAAAAGCCTTTTTAATTAAGACTAGTCTTCCCAAGATTGGACTTTTCTTAAAAAAGACATTGTAGGCCAAGCTAGTTATCTAGGTGGGTAATAAGTTAAAATGAATCAACATTCTACTCGCAGAAATAGTTGGTAAACTAATTTGTGAACCCAATTTTTATTTTTATTTTATATTTTTGTGTTAAGAGGATTATTGGTGGGCTTTTTATTTTTTATTATTTTGGTAATGAGGATTAGTGGAGGATTTGGTCGACTAAATTACGAATTAGAGTTTCTCACCTTACACAAAAAGAACAAATTATTTTTCTCGTATTTATAATGATTCAGATATATATGACGATATAACATGTCAAATTTTCAAACGCAACATAAGGTAGAGTAAGGGTAAAAATGAAATAAAGTTGAAAAGGAAGTGCATTAGTGAAAGAAGAAAGGCACAGGACTATAACGTAAGACCGACCAGGAGTTGCAATCCTCTCTCTCTCTCTCTCTCTCTCTCTATATCTCTCTCTATATATATATATATATCTCTCTCTCTATATCTCTCTCTCTCTCTCTCTCTCTATATCTCTCTCTCCATACATATCTTCTTTTTTGACTTTCTACGCTTATAATCTGTCTCTCAAGACTCCGTGAGCTTCCTTTGTTGAACGAAACTATTTTAAAAAAAAAGAACAAACACTAAACCAAAACGGAGCCTCCATCCAAAATTCTTTTCCCAACATTTTCCACTTTCTTTCTTTCATAATTTTTTTTTATTAATCAGTTTCGAAACCATTAAAAACTCTCACAAATCTCACCGGTTTCCAACCTAACACACACCTCCTCCTGGTCTCTTCCCATATAAAAAATATCAAACACAGTCTTACATTCTTTCTTTCATTATATCCATATCCACCTCTGTCCCTGCACTCTCTCTCTCTCTCTCTTCCCCTGTCTCTCTCTGTAAGTTTGTTCACAGCTCTGAGCTGTGTTGTGGTTTTTCTTTTTTTTTCTGGGTTGCTGAGAATTTAAGGGAAATCAATACTTGTGCTTTTTTGGGTTGTTGGAGGTTGACTTTATAATTCAGTTTCTGTGAAATGACACAGCTGTTTCTTCTCTTTTCATTATTTTTTTCTCAGAAACCAAACAGATCTTTCTTTTCTTCTTTCTTTCTCTCTCTCTTTTTTTTTTTGGATTTTGTTGAATGTCTAAATGTGCAAGGTATTTTCGCAGGAAATCTGCTCCGTACTGATATCAGATAGCTTTGGTAGAAGCTTTGTTGTTGGATCAATCTGACTTCATTTCAGGTTAACTTCTCTGTTTCTCTCTAAGTACTCATGGATATGCATAGAAAACTATATCTAGAGAAAGATAAAATCTTGTGCTGAAAGGGTGTGTTTATGTAGCATGGTATATATTAAATCGATAAAAGTTTGAGTCTTTAAGGAGAATTATTATCAAGAAACTTTGTGACATAACTAAACTGAGAAAAACAGAGCGCTTTCTAAAAAGATTGGAAAACAGAATAAGCTGCAGTGATAAGTAATGATTTATTTTTTATTAATAATTTTACCTCCTCTGGTTTGTTGCGTGAGGATATCAATAATGATCAAAGATAAGGACGAATCCCATGAATAGCCAGATCAGATATGTATTGCATTAATTGGAAATTATTCCTTGCGTCCATTATGTCTATATGCAGATAAGCTCATTTTTGAAGGTGATGTTTTTGGGGGTAACAATTAATTGCAAGTTTTATGGAGTTGGAGAATTAATTCCTTTCATATACCTGGTGTTGAATTGAAATTTTGAGAAATCAATTTGAAGATCATTCTAATGGAGAATTAAAAATGGCTTAGAATATAAGAATCAACGAAGCAGAATCTGCTCCCAAGTTAATAGCGAGGTATTAACTTTCATTTTTGTTACAATTTTTATCTTCCTTTCTTTACTAGTGTTTATTGTATGAAATTCGATTTTATTTTTCCGTGTCAGTGGGTTTAGATTGTTATAAGGTATGCTTTGATCGCTCTATTACCTCTGATTACTATAATCATGTCATCATCTTTGCAAGTTTACCCATAAGTATGAAGAAGCAGATGTAACTTCCCAACCAAGACAGAAAATTAAAACCGAAGAATAGCAAATTTTTGTTCTTTCTAAAATGAGCAGTAGTAGAAAAATATCGTAGTACTCGGAGCAAGTTAATAATCTACTTTTTGCGAAAATCAGATAGAAATTGTTATACTGAAACTGATAACTGTGAAAAAATGTTGTTGTGATTAGAAATCTGTTCAATCTGCTGTGCTTTTTGAATTTCTTTTTTTCTCCATACTATACTCAATTGCCTGATGTGTAGTAGGGATAGGGATCAGTTTCTTTACCAATGACTAAAATTTCTGTTCCATGATAATTAATTGAATGTCTGGTTCATGGCTTGTCATTATTTTGCATAGGGTACTTATAATTGTCTTTTTTTACTGCCATTCCTATAGGTTCTTACTTCGCACAAGGTTCTTGGTTGTACATTATTTCGAACTCCGAGCCATTAATCTGGCACAGGAACGCCTAAGGTGTAACCATGTTCTCAAGATCTTGCATAAGTTTGTTGGAGTTGGCATCGGGGGAGATGTTGAATTTCCCTCAGACCCCTAGAGCCCTTACGAAGGTGATGACTATTCAGGGAGTCATTCCTGATGCAAAAAATAGTGATGGGATTAATAATGAAGGTGTAAATGTTCCCCCTTCTGAGATCTGTGAGAAGAAAATCATAGTGGCAAATTTTCTCCCTCTACATGCTCAGAAGGATACAAACTCGGGGAAATGGTGCTTCAGTTTTGACGAGGATGCAATTTTGTTGCCACTGAAAGATAGTTTCTCATCTGGTACCGTGGTAATGTTTGTGGGGTCTCTGAAGGTTGACATTGAAGCAAGTGAACAAGAGGAAGTATCCCAGAAACTGCTGGAGGAATTTAATTGCGTGCCGACATTTCTTCCTTCTGAGCTTCATAAGAAGTATTATCATGGGTTTTGTAAGCAGTATTTGTGGCCCCTCTTTCACTACATGCTGCCCATGTGCCCGGACCATAGCAATCGTTTTGACAGGCAACTTTGGCAGGCATATGTTTCTGCTAACAAGATATATGCTGATAAAGTTATGGAGGTGATCAATCCTGAAAATGATTATGTATGGGTTCATGACTATCACCTTATGATTCTTCCAACATTTTTGAGAAGGCGTTTTACACGAGTTAAGCTTGGGTTTTTCCTTCATAGTCCATTCCCCTCATCAGAAATCTACAGGACCCTGCCAGTCAGAGATGAAATTCTGAGAGCACTGCTAAATGTGGATTTGATTGGTTTTCATACATTTGATTATGCTCGCCACTTTCTATCTTGCTGCAGTAGAATGCTTGGCCTGGAATATGAATCTAAGCGGGGATACATTGGACTTGAATATTTTGGCCGCACAGTGTACATAAAAATTCTGCCCGTGGGGATACACATGGGTCGACTTGAATCTGTATTAAATGACCCCTCGTCTTCCGTGAAGGCCAAGGAGATTCAAGAACAGTTCAGAGGGAAAAAGATTATTCTTGGTGTTGATGACATGGACATATTTAAAGGGATCAGTCTAAAGTTATCGGCCATGGAACAGCTTTTGCAGCAGCACCCGGAGTTCAGGGGCAAGGTAGTCCTGGTTCAAATTGTAAATCCTGCAAGAAGTACAGGGAAAGATGTTCAGGAAGCAAAAAAGGAAACATATTCAACGACCAGAAGGATAAATCAAGTCTTTGGTTTTCCAGGATATGAACCAGTTGTTTTGATTGACCGTAATGTTCCTTTTCATGAGAAGACTGCCTATTATTCTTTGGCAGAATGTTGCATTGTTAATGCTGTGAGGGATGGCATGAACCTAGTCCCCTACAAGTACATCATTTGTAGGCAGGGCGCTCCAAATATGGATAAAGCTGTGGGATTTGCCTCTGATTCCCCTCGTACAAGTACACTTGTTGTCTCAGAGTTCATAGGTTGCTCACCATCTTTGAGTGGAGCAATCAGGGTGAACCCGTGGAATATTGAAGATGTAGCTGATGCACTCAATGTGGCCATAACAATGCCTGCTTTAGAAAAGCAATTGCGCCATGAGAAACATTATCGGTATGTTAGCTCTCATGATGTGGCTTACTGGTCCCGCAGTTTTATGCAGGATCTGGAGCGAGCATGCAAAGATCACTACAGAAAACGTTGTTGGGGAATTGGTTTTGGTTTGAATTTTAGAATCTTGTCTCTTTCTCCAAGTTTCAGGAAGCTTTCCATTGACCATATCCTCTCTGCATACAAGAGGACAAATAGAAGGGCAATATTTTTGGATTACGACGGAACAATAGTGCCTGAATCTTCTATTGTTAAGACCCCAAGTCCTGAAGTCATTTCTATTCTGAAGAACCTTTGCAGCGACCCCAAGAACACTGTGTTTATAGTTAGCGGCAGGGGTCAAAACTCTCTCAGTGAATGGTTTGCTCAATGTGAGAATCTAGGTATAGCAGCAGAGCATGGATACTTCATAAGGTAAGTTCTCACATGTATAAATTAAGTTTCAGAACTATAGATAATTATTTAAGAATTGTCCTTTGTTAGATTAGTTGTTTCCAGGTAAAAGTCTATACTTATTTTTGATTCCACATTTACTTTTATTTTCTCATAGATGGAGTAGCACGTCCAGTTGGGAAACCAGTTCCTCAGCCATAGATTTCGAATGGAAGCAAATTGCAGAACCTGTGATGAAGTTGTATACAGAGGCAACTGATGGCTCCTACATAGAGACCAAGGAGAGTGCCTTGGTATGGCACCATCTAGATGCCGATCCTGATTTTGGATCATGCCAGGCCATGGAGATGTTGGATCATCTTGAAAATGTCCTCGCCAATGAGCCTGTAGTTGTTAAAAAGGGCCAACATATTGTCGAAGTAAAACCACAGGTATTTATGTTCTCCTCTTTCTTCCCTCTCTTTTGCGTTTCTGTATTCCTCTTGTGGCCTATAGGATGTCATTTGGCTTATTCACACTGCAGGGAGTTACTAAAGGATTAGTTGCACAGAAAGTTCTTTCCATGATGATCAGTAATGGGAATGCGCCCGATTTTGTGTTGTGCATTGGGGATGATAGATCAGATGAGGACATGTTTGAAAGCATATCAAGCACTTCATATAATCCATCTCAACCTGTAGCTCCTGAGATCTTTGCGTGCACTGTTGGCCAAAAACCCAGTAAAGCTAGGTACTACCTAGATGATACGGTGGATGTCATCACATTACTTAAAGGCCTGGCGGCTGATTCAAGTCTCAAGCCAAGGTGTAATTGGGAAATTCAAGCTCCTTTCGAGTATATCATGTGAACCGTGCATAGGGTAGAGAAGCATATCGGTGTCGCTAGCTTGGATGGACGTTTTTCTTCTGATGATACAAGTATACAAAAAGCAATCAAGGATTAACTCTTGGAGTTGTCATACTAACTTATTCTTTGCATGGTGGAAAGCCAGACATGATGCTGCTCTGGTTTTTTTCTTCCCGGAGAGGAAGACGATCACAAGCGATTACTGTGGATTTGGTGATGTCAATGGTGAATGTCTAGCAGTTTATGTGTTAGTGCCATGGATCCGAGGGGATTTACCTTCTTAGTTCACAGGTTAAGATTTTCTTTTTATCATGGGTAGTTTAAGAGATACAAGGGCATCATTGTTTTGTAAATTTGAACTGGCTTTGTAGTTACATGATACTTAATTCTTTCATGAAATCATAGTTCTTACTGCAATTTTCTCTGTTCCCATACTCCTTGCCATCTCAATGCCAATCAAAATTCCCAAATTTTTGATGATTTGTATGAGATGTTTGCATTTTAGTAGTTTTAAAATTAATTTAAGATACTTAATCGTTAAGGTACAACCCCTCATGATAAAACTTTATTTTATCTGTTCAAAAATTTATAGATTAGAATATTATTTTACTAAATTTAAAAAAGAAATTGAAAAAAATTGACTTGTGGTCAATCTCCATCGAATCCCGAAGGAAGGGTTAAGTCCATAGTTGCTGGGTTTTTAACTTTGCAGACAGAGTCACACTCCAATTCTCACACCAAAAGGAAAGACCGTAGAAAAGTGAAAATGGCTCGTCGTTGTTTCGCTCTGTTCACCATTTTCGTCTTCGCAATCGTTCCTCATATTCAGGTCTGCGTCTAAACCTTAGACCTCTGTTTGTTACCCGAGAAAATACCTAGAAAATGAAATAGTTTGTGTGTTTCAAAATTCTTCTTTATCCTCTGAATTTTTGGCAGCTAAATTTGAGTAACCAAGTGCTTTGCTTTCAGTGTATAGTTTACGCGGGTGGTTTTATGCAGGGTATCGCGACCAATGATCAACGTGCGCAGATCTCCGTACGCTCATCGCCATTTGAAACAGCCCTCGCTGCCCTTCAGAAGCAAATTGGGTAAAGTTCCTGTCTTTTCCACCCTTCATTTTTGTGTTTCAATTCTGGATCATTGACTCTGTTTGGTTTCTGAGAAAGTTTAGGAAAAAGAAAGGAAAACTTAGCACTGTTATCTCACCCTGCGTGACTAAACATGTATGCATAGTTTGGATTTCTCAATCATTAGATGGTTAGTTTTGGACAATATTGACGAATAATCACCGCATTGAAACCAAACCAATAGCTTTAATGATCAAACTTGATTGCATTTCCATGTATTTGTATATGTTTGATTGTGTGTGTGTGTTTGTGTGGCACTGAAGAAATGGACTCTCTTTCTATGTTTTCCAGCTATAATTTCAAAAAACCTGGGCTCCTTCGCCGTTCCATGACCCATGCGTCCTTCTCTGAAGAGAATAACAGGGCTCTGAGCATTTTGGGCGCCAAGGTCATAGAAACATCAGCCTCTCTACGACTGCTTGAAAAAGACCTTGAGATTTCTGCAAAAGAATTGAACCGTCGTGTTTCAGAGCTATCCAAAGTAGAATCGTCCTGCACCGCTGACGGGTTGCGCTTGGGGTTGCATAAGGTGGTTAGAGTCTCTCCCAAGACTGATTCTACCACTCCTTTGGTGGTTTGTGGGGCTTTCAGAGCAATCTTTGGCGCTATTGCTATTGATGTGGGGAAGTCTGATGATGCTGGAAGCTATTTCTGGGGTGTTCATGGCGGTCAAGTTGGCGGAGCTCTTGCAAT